CACACACACACACACACACACACACACACACACACACACACACACGCGCACACACACACACACACACACACACACGCGCGCACACACACACACCGCTCTCAGTCAGATCCACTTGCTTGAAGGAATTTCTGTGGAGCTCACGTCATCCTGGTGCCCGGCACGCGAGACAGTAGCTTCCCAGCGCACCCCCGAGGCCCACTTCTGGGGATGCACCGGGCGCGCGGGGCGTGCCCCAATCCGGCGCCCACGCTCGAGACGTCCTCGAGAGAGTCGCCCCGGGGGCCCCAGGCGCGCCCCCCGGGACCATACCTCTGGGGATGCACCGGGAGCGTCAGGCGCACCGGGCGTGTCCAGATCTAGCGACCTCGCCCGAGAGCTCCTCGCAAAGATCGCCCCACGGGCCCCCAGCACGCCCCCAAGGGCCATGTCTGGGGGGTGCACCTGGCGCGGCGGGCGCGCCGAGCGTGTCCCCAATCCAGCGCCATCGCGCCAGACATCCGCGCAGAAATCGCTCCACGGGCCCCCAGCGCGCCCCCAGGATCCACGAGCGCCCGACGCACCCCCTGGGACCATTTCTGGGGATGCACCAGGCGCGCCGGGCGCACCAGCCGTGCGTGTCCCAGTCCGACGCCCTCGCGCGAGACATCCTCGCAAAAATCGCACCATGGGCCCCCTGCACACCCGCAGGGACCATTTCCGGGGATTCACCGGGCGCGCTGGGCGCAGGTGTGTCCCCATCTGGCGTTCCGCTCGAGGCACGTGTGCAAAATCGCCCCACGGGTCCCTGCCGCGCCCCCAGGCAGAAGGAGGAGAAGGAGGAGTAGCAGTAAGAGGAGGAGGAAGAAAAGGAGGAAGAGGAGGAGGAGGAGAACGATGATGATGATGATGATGATGATGATGATGATGATGATGATGATGATGATGATGATGATGATGATGATGATGATGATCATGATTATGATTATGATCATGATCATGATCATGATCATGATCATGATGATGATGATGATGATGATGATGGTGGTGGTGGTGGTGGTGGTGGTGGTAAAGATGATGATGATGATGATGATGATGATGAGATGATGATGATGATGATGATGATGATGATGATGGTGGGTGGTGGTGGTGTGTGATGATGATGATGATGATGATGATGATGATGAGGATGATGATGATGATGATGATGATGTGATGATGATGATGATGATCATCATCATCATCATCATCATCTCATCATCATCATCATCATCATAATCATCATCATCATCATGGTGGTGGTGGTGATGGTGATGGGTGGTGGTGTGGTGATGAGGATGAGGATGAGATGAGAATGAGGATGAGGATGATGAGGATGAGGATGAGGATGATGATGATGAGGAGGAGGAGGAGGAGGAGGAGGAGAACAACGAGGACGAGGACGAGGACGAGCACGAGGAGGAGAATGAGCAGGGAGGAAGACGAAGGAGGAGGAGGAGGAGGAGGAGGAAGGGAGGAGAGAGGAGGAGGAGGAGAAAGTGAAAATGTGAATGGTGATGGTGAGGAGGAGGAGGAGGAGGAGGAGGAAGAGGAGGAGGAGGAGGAGGAGGAGGAGGAGGAGGAGGAGGAGGAGGAGAGAGGAGGAAGGATGCCTTCCAGGGACGATCCTGATCTTTACCCTCCTCATGCTCATTCTCATTATCCTGGTCCTCGCTCTTCTCGTGATGTTCACTCTGCCGATCCTCACTCTGTTGATCTTCCTTTTCATGATGCAATCTCGCACGATCCTCACCCTGCTGATATTCATTATCCTCATCCTCCATCTCTCTCTGTCTCTCTCTCTCTCTCTCTCTCTCCTGACACTCATTCTCCACATCCTCACCTTCCTGCTCCACGCTCGCCTGATCCTCACCTGCGTGACCCTCACTCTACTGATCCTCCACCTCGCGAGCCTCGCCCTCCTGATCCTCAACCTCCTCATCCTTACCCGCCGCACCACAACTTCCCGCTCATTTACCTCTCGCCCACAAGCGCACGGTCCTTCTTCTATATACAAAAACTCCCGATCAACCGCAGAGCGGCCGGCTAGTACTCATTCATGTCATAGTCAGACTCACACGCACACATCATTCATACACTCAGAGCCACATGCTCATCGAGATGCAGCAGGCGTGGCGCTTAAACAAACCAAAAAAGAAACGCCAGCGGTCGGGACAATTGCCCGTTCGCGCCCAGATTGGTCTTTGGCGGTGTGTCTGTTCGGGTGGCTTGGCTTTCTGTTTGCAGAGCTCAATGCCCATCGCGATGCTGCAGGTTGAGCACTCAAAGGAGGAGCTGCCAGGGGTGGGCGCACGTTCATCGCGATGCAGCATGCGTGGCAACAGAGCACCCCGAGGAGGAGCCGCCAGAGGTGGGACATTTGCCCGTTCGGGCCCAGGCCGTGGGGATGTGTCAGGCAGTTTGCCTGTCTGGTGGCTTGGCCGTCCCCCTGAGCAGCTCGCTACCTCCGCCCGCTCTCTCGGCCGCGTCCTCCTCCTGCTCCCCCTCTTGCATGGTGGCACAGTTCGCCCCAACGGCACCCCCGTTCGGGCCTTTCCGCCAGCGCAGCTTCCCCTGCCTCGCCGCCGATGCGAAAAGCTCGGTGGCTCTGGAGTGGACCTCGGTGCGTTCCGAGCAGGCTGTGAGGACACGTCTCGAGCGAGGCGCTATTATATCTGCAGCACCCCAGCCAGGGGAGCCGCCAGGGAGGGGGGCACCCGCCCGTGCGCACCCCGACTTGGTGGTGACGTCCCGGGCGGCTTGCCTGCTCGGGGGCTCGGGCGCCGCCCTCCTCCGGACCGACTGTACGGGCCGGCCGCTGAAAGCTGGGAGTTCCTGGCTTCCCAGACCACAGTCTGCGCCTGGCGCCCCCCCACCTCCAGGATCGCCCGGCCTCCCGCCTGCCCCTCCTCTTTTAAGGGGGCGGGCGGAGGCCCGATCTGCCTCCAGCGCCTGCCTGCCTGCCTGCCTGCTTTTCCTGCCCACCGCTTCCGAGACCCGCGTGCAGAGACGTCTCGAGCAAGGCGCTGGCTCCAGCACGCCAAGGAGGGGCCGCCAGGGGTACGACGCGTGTCCGTTCGGGCCGAGGCTGCGGGGATGTCTTGGGCGGCTTGCCCGTCTGGTGGCTCTCGGGCGTCGGCGCTCTCGCAGCAGGCTAGACGAGCTGGAGCGAGGCGCTGCCTTCGGCACCCCGGGCGGCCAGATGGTGGGGACGTGTCGGGTGAGGCGCGTTCGGTGTTGCGCCTCTGGCTCCAGTCCAGTCGAAGCCCCATGGTCACTTCGAGGCAAGGGGAAGGGGGCGGCCGCCATGCCTTCGGCACCCTTGGCGGCCAGATGGCGGGGACGTATCGGGTGAGGCGTTCGGCGTTGCGCCGCCGACTCTGGTCCCAGTCGAAGCCCCGGAGAGGGGGGCGGCCGCCAGGACGGAGGAGGAGGAGGAGGAGGAGGAGGAGGAGGAGGAGGAGGGAGGAGGGAGGAGGGAGGAGGGAGGAGGGAGGGAGGAGGAGGAGGAGGAGGAGGAGGAGGAGGAGGGAGGAGGGCGCAGAAGGACGGAGAGGGGAGAGGCGAGGCAGAGGAGGGAGGGGGCACGACGAGCAGCAAGAGGGAGGAGAGGGGAGCGGGCCTGCTCGCCGCCCGTCTGTGGGTGAGCTGCCGTCGCCACCGCCCCTCGTCGTGGCAGCCGCCGTCGTCGCTGTCGTGCTCTCGTCGTCCGCTCGGGCTCGCGCTCACACCCAGAAGCGCACGGCCAGGCACTCACGGTGGGACGTGCCAGGAAATGAGATGCACGTGCGTGGATATCCGCGTCGAAGAGATACTCTCCCCCCGATTCGCTGTTACCCAGCCGCCTGCGGCAAACCCCGCCACCGTGCCAGCGCAGCAGCGCACCGAGGTTGAACCCTGCTCCAGTTCAGCGCCCTGTCTGAACTGCCGCTAGTCTTCAGCACCCCATCCTTATCCGTGGCAGCGTTCCCCTCCTCTTTCCATCCTTCTCCTCTTCCTCCTCTCCCCCCTTTTCGCCTCCCTCACAAGACACCCCTCACAATATAGATTGGCGGCTTGCTGGGCTCTTCTTAGGGGGCCCCGGAAGGGGGTTCGAGAAGACATTTAGAGGGCATTCGGGCGAAATGGTTCTACCGAGCTCTCCCGAATAGGCTCGGCTGTTCCACCGTGAGGGCGTCTGGGCTTGGCTCAGGGCCGTCTTGCAGCCTTCCTGTGCTGCATGGATGCATTCTGGAACGGTTTGGGTGCCCTCTTAGGGGCCGTTTTGAGCCGTCTTGACCGCCTGCTGTGGCTCTCGGAAGCTTTCTCGAGGCGATCTTGAGCCGAAACGCATCGGAAGCAAAAAGCTCAAAGTCTTCCAAGAGTTCGTTCACTGCCTGGGGCCGCTCCGGGCCTCGCTTTACGTCGGGCGTGTCCCTCTGCAGAAGGAATGTTCAATCATCGTCCAAAAATAGTATGGGGACGATGCTGTATTGTTTGTTTCACTATTTGGGTGCATTTTGTTGACTATTGTTTACTTGTCGAAATCCCCCCGTAGGAGGACACGCCCGACCCAAGCCTTGCTGAAGGCCTCTTTGGGCGTCCCCGGGAGGCTGCAGGGCCTCTCCTGAGTCTTGTTCGGGGCGTCTTTCAGCTCTGGGCACGTCGCTGGGCCGTCTTTGGGCTCCTCCTCCTCCTCCTTCCGTAGCCATTTTGGCTCAAGTCGTTTTGGCGCAAGGCGCAAGGCCGCTTCGCGTCGAGACCGCATCAGCGGGCGCATCCCCTGCCCTGCATCCCGCCACTGCCTCAGGCGCCTCCAGTCCGCAGCAAGTCGCGCGACCATGCCGGAGCTCGTGGCGATCGTGAAAGCCCCCAAGGAGGCATTCCAGGGCATGATTGACAAAGGCGTGTCGATGGGCGGCGACGCGTCCATCAAGATCTTTCACCAGTCCTTCTACGCGGGTTGCTACATTGGTTTCGGTGGCATGCTGTCGATGGTGGTGGCTGGCGGTTTGGACAAGGCAGCAGAGGACAACCCGACCATCCAGACCTTTGTATTCGCTGCGCTCTTCCCCGTGAACCTGCTGCTCATCTTGCTCACAGGCGGGGTGCTGATCACAGGTACGGCTGCGACCGTGCCTGCGGCGGTGTGTGAAGGCAAGCTGCACTGGAAGCAGATCCCTAGGACGTTTGCGCTGGCTTGGATTGGCAATCTGCTTGGCGCCGTGCTCTTCGCCTTCTTTGTCGAGGCCTGCAACCTGAACGTGGGCTTGACTGCCAAGCTCGCGATGAAGGTGGCGGAAAAGAAGATCAAGGAGAATTTCTTCATCACTTTCCTGAAGGGAATCGGCTGCAACTGGCTGGTGTGTATGGCTGTGTTCCTGCAGGGTCAAGCGCAGGACATGACTGGCAAGATGGTTGGCATCTGGTTCCCCATCTCCTGCTTCGTGGCCATCGGCTTCGAGCATATCCCAGCCAACATGTTCATGATTCCCTTGGGGATGATAGCCGGCGCCGACGTGTCCGTGTGGGACTGCTTCTGGAGGAACTTCGTCCCAGTGACCCTCGGGAACATCTTCGCAGGTTCAATCTTCGTGGGCGTGGGCTACTCCTTCGCCCTCGGCAGGCTGGGCAGCTTTCCTATGTTCAACATGCCCGCGAGGGAGCTGGCTGCGCCGAAGGAGCAGAAGGCTGGCGGCGACAGCAGCGTGCCTTCAGTCTGAGGCACATCTCCTCCTCCTCCTCCTCCTCCTCCTCCTCCTCCTCCTCCTGCTCCTCCTCCTCCTCCTCCGCTCGCTCCTCTGAGCAATCTGCTGAGGGGCCTTAGCATCCGTCTGGCAGTTACATCGTGTGCAGCTGTTTCGTCAGGGCTAGTTGGAGCATCCCAGGCAGTTGTTCAGAGCCTGGGCTTCCGGCATTTGGCGGATTTTCTGGGCTTACATCCTCTCACCGACGGCATCTGCTTCGATCTGAATGCAGAAGCTGAGTTCTCCATCCAGTGTGTAAGCCCACTCTCGCGAGGGTCCGAATATGTTTACTACTCTTTCGGAGCGAGATTTAAGGAATTTATGGTAGCGGCCCCTATCGTCATGTTTAAATTCGCATTTCTCCTCCAGTAGATGTCCGAGTGCCATCTGGTGCGAGTCGATCGAAGCTGTATGCCCGTGGCAGTCGCCACAGGCGTCGCCAGAGAGTAATCGCTCTCGCAGGGACAGCTTACATTGATCTGCTTGTGTGGAGCACTTAGGGCCGTTGCGTACGAAGCATGCAACCGTCGCATGCTATAGATCGACTGAAGCTATAGCTTGCTATGCAGCGCTCACGGCCCTCGATGTGCATCTTGTCTCCTGCTTCCTGCTTCTCCCGCCTCCACCTCCTCCTCCTCCTCCTCCTCCTCCTCCTGGTTCCTCCTCCTCCTCCTCCTCCTCCTCCTCCTCCCCCTCCTCCTCCTCCTCCTCGCCGGTCTTCGGACAGTTTGCGGCCGTGTTGGAGCCGTGCTGGGGCCCGAAGGGGCGCCGGGCAGGGAATGAAGCTGGGAGAGGGGGCGGTGTTCGGACGACGCGTCACAAGAAGGGGCGTCCTATAGGAAAGCTGCAGGGCCTGTTTTCGCACGGCGCGTGACACGAAGGGGCGTCTCGGGAAAGCTGCAGAGCCCTGCCTAGCAACCAGCAGGCGTTCCAGCACGCCCCAGCGTGCCGAAGGCAGCGGACATGTGCCCACGGTGCTGATTTGAGCCGTGCCGAGTTGCCCAGCGTTCTTGTAAAAGCGCCCGTTCGATTGCATACACACTGGTCGATCTACACCATCTGGCTAAGAGCTCAATATCAAGACTGTCATGCTTGAATGATTTGTGGACAGATAGCAGGCGCCTCAGAAATTCACAAGCGATCCGATCCCCACTCTTTACATTAATTCCAGAGGTATGCTATGCTCGGTCATGTCCATCGCCGTGACCATTGAGGCCCGAGTTTTGGTTTTGACAGCTGCCCTGATTGCCGTGCGAACGATTTTGGATAGGCGTTCTTTCTCATGAAGCTGCTCTTGTTTGCTGTCTTTGTGTTACAGTCATTGGGGGTTTTCGCGGGCACAAACGAAGAAGGGAAGAAGTTTCTGGAGGAGAATAAGCAAAGAGAAGGTGTGGTGACGCTGAAGTCAGGGTTGCAGTACAAAGTTTTGAAGAAGGGTGATGGCAAGTACTTTCCGACCAAGAGTTCGCCTTGTGAGTGCCACTACGCTGGCACGACACCTGCCCTCACGCCGAATGCGATTGACATCCCAGAGGCAGATTGGGCGGAGTTTGACTCTTCTTACAAGAGAGGCTCTCCCACATCGTTTGCGCCTAACCAGGTGATCAAAGGGTGGACCGAGGCGATGCAACTCATGGTGGAGGGCGATAAGTGGGAAATGTACATTCCGTCTGAGCTCGGCTATGGCGACGGCGGCTCCGGCGAGAAGATCAAGGGGGGCGATGTGCTCATATTTCGCATGGAGATTCTGCAGATCAAGGGCGCCAAGAAGCGAGCAGCCAAGTGTGACTTCAAGACTAAGGAGAATTGCGAGGCTGACGAGGTGGAGGCGCTTGAGGCTTGGGGCAAGAAACCCCTTGAGGAATTATCTGCGGAAGTGGCAAGGCTAAAAAAGAAATCGGGCGGGGCGTTGAAAGCCGAAGAGAGGAAGCAGGTCGATCCGTTGTTGAAGATCCTCAAGCAGATTGAAAAGGCCAAGAAGAAGGGGATGGAGCTCTGAGCAAATGATCGGCACGCATTTCGAGTCTGTCTAAAAAACACCGTTCGACTTTGTAGCGACGTTACGATATGAGGGCAAAATGCGTCTTGCCGATCTACAGCTTCCACTCGGATGGCTCCCTCTCGCACCTCCCTCTTAGCATCATGTCAAGTTTCGGGCGCACTGATCACATATATGAAGTTCTCGCTCGGTAATGCTTGAGAGGTCGGTCGCCTACGCGCGGGGCCCCGGGCACGCTCGTGCGTTGGACTGTGGGCCCCACCGCAGAGCCCGGATTTGCTGAGCGCGCGCCCCCGTCGATTGACGCCACATTTTTGTCTGGCCGCTGGCTTCTCCGGCCGGGAAGTTCTGGTCAGCGTGTCGCCCCGTCGGTCCTTTGCCTCACACGCTCCAGCGCGGCGGGCCGACCACGTCCTGGCCCCCCGCACGTCCACGCCCCGTGCCTTGTCGAGGCCCCCCGCCCCGCGGAGCGGAGCGACACGCCGTCCGCTTGCAGGTCAGCGTGCCGTCGGGGCCGCCGCCGTGACAGGCTAGGCAGAAGTTCCTGGCCGTAGACTCGTCCGGCAGAGGGAAACAATTACTGAGCACTCCCCCTCCCCCCCAAACTCAAGGTCGGCACGCGCGGGGGGAGGCTGCAGTCGAGGTGCAGCTCACCAGACCCGCCGCCAACTTTGAACACCGGGGGGAGGGGGAGGCGTTGACAGATGAATGTGGCATGAGTGTTCGCTATTCTTTCCGAGGCCTGTCCCTCCGTCCACTCCTCCTCCTCCTCCTCCTCCTCCTCCTCCTCCTCCTCCTCCTCCTCCTCCTCCTCCCCTCCTCCTGCTCCTCCCTACTCCTCCTCCTCCTCTCCTCCTCCTTCTCCTCCCTCCCTCTTCCTCCCCTCCTCCCTCCTCCCTCCCTCCCTCCTCCCACCTCCCTCCTCCCTCCTCCCTCCTCCCTCCTCCCTCCTCCCTCCTCCCTCCTCCCTCCTCCTCCCTCCTCCCTCCTCCCTCTCCCTCCTCCCTCCTCCCTCCTCCCTCCTCCCTCCTCCCTCCTTCCTCCTCCTCCCTCCTCCCTCCTCCCCTCCTCCTCCTCCTCCTCCTCCTCCCTCCTCCTCCTCCTCCTCCTCCTCCTCCTCCTCCTCTCCTCCTCGCTCCGCCTCCTTCCTCCTCCCCCTCCCGCATCCTCCCTCCTCAACCTCCTTCCTCCTCTTCCTCTCCTCCCTCCCCTCCTCCTCCTCCTCCTCCTCCTCCTCCTCCTCCTCCTCCTCCTCCTCCTCCTCCTCCTCCTCCTCCTCCTCCTCCTCCTCCTCCTCTTCAATCTTATTCCTCTGGCACCTCGTGCTCCTCCCTCCTCCTGCTCATCCTTCTTTCCTTCCCATCCCTAGGGCGACAGGCGGTGCAATCGGCCCGTACCGCCCGAAGAGTTCCGCGGATGCTCAGGCATGAGATCCTTCGAGCGGGCGTGCACGCTTGCAGCAATAGTGTTCGCCATGGTAAGTCCGAGTTATGCTGCTCCCATCGTACGAAAGGACCACATCCCAGAAATAATTTCGAGCACCCGGAAAAGTCTCGAAACAGTGTCGAAACAGTATCGGACGACTGTCTCCCAGGGCCCGACACGTGGAAACCTTCGAGTTTCGGTCTTTTTTTGGTGCTCGAAATTCTGTCTGGTGGTCAAGGCTAAAGCAGGTTGGAACATCATAAAGTCGGAGCTGCTTGACGCAAAGCCGCCAGGTATTCTAAGACTTGTCGGCTTCAGGGTTGGGCTTGCAGCTCTCTGCAGGAAGATGGCGAGCCCAAGGCATCTGACATGAGTTTCCTGGACTGGTTTGGGGGGACGGCTCTAGATTGGTAAAACGATAGATTCGTGATGTCATGTTCGAGTGTACCGTCAGTGTCGTTTCATCGTCGCCAGTATCATCGTCATTGTCTACCGTTGCTTTTGATTATCTCGTCGTCGTCCAAGTTCACCCAGCCCAGCATCACTGCCCCAGGACCGCGGGCAGGAGTACGGCTGCCGTGGCGGCAACGGCGGCGAGGGGGTCTCCTGGGTCACGGAAAAAGGGCTCAGCATCGTCTCAGTGATCCCCATCCCCAGCGGGCCATGGTATCTCCATCCCTCAAGCCCGCCCCCCAGGTGGGGATGGACACCGCGAGACTTGGGGGGGTCAATCGGCCAGTGGGGCCAAGGCCATGCCAGTTGGATGGGGATCGGCTAGACGATGCCCATCATGGGCCCGGCGCTCCAAGATGCGAGGTGGATGGTAGGGGCGACTGGCCTGCCCGTGGCTTCCCTTTTCTGCTCGCCCTTCTCGCCCTGGCCATTCTGCCCGCCCTTCTACGATTACACAATATGAGTACTACTCTCTCCTCTCCCCTGGTGACGTCCGGGAAATATTCGGCCCCCCTCCGCGCATGGGTTTTCTACACACAGGATTCCCGGGAGATGGGTCTTCGTTGGGATGTGTTTCAAAACGCTGCTCTCGCTGAAGCGCTGGCCTCGTTTTCGGGCTTCCGCTCGTTCCGAATCGTGCTCCCGTTGCAGCGTTGGCATTATTATTTCCAGCGCCTTGCCACGGCATGGTTTTCGGTCCTTCCAATTATGCCCCAAAATCTGGTCCCCCGAAAAAGCCATTGGAAGTGTTTACACATTCGGTGTCGATTCGTTGATTTTTGGGGTCGCAGAAGCCCCCCCACACTTTGCGGCGTCGCCACGCCATGCTATGTCAGGTTACGCGTCCTCCGAATCGTGCTCCCGCTGCAGCTCTGGCCTCATTTCCGCGCTTCCGCTCGTTCCGAATCGTGCTCCTGCTGCAGCGCTGGCGTCATTATTTCGAGCGCCATGCCACGGCTCCAAAATCTAGAAAATGCTCCCCCCGAAACAACCGTCGGAAGTGATTATACATTCGGTGTCGATTTGTTGGGGCGGCGCCACGCCATGCTTTGTCAGGCTACGCGTTGATCTTCAACATTATGCTATGTCATATAATGCTATGCCCTGTTACGAGATCCGACTGTGCGGATAGAGAGGACATCTACGCCATGGTAAGGGATGGGAGGGAGGGGTAGGACGTCAGAGATGACGCGAGCGCACCTCGCTTGCCTCCTCCCTCTCCTCCTCCTCCTCCTCCTCCTCCTCCTCCTCCTCCTCCTCCTCCTCTCTCCTCCTCCTCCTCCTCCTCCTCTCATCATCATCATCATCATCATCCTCATCATCATCATCATCATCATCATCATCATCCCTCATCCTCATCCTCCTCCTCCTCCTCCTCCTCCTCCTCCTCCTCCTTCCTCCTCCTCCTCCTCCTCCTCCTCCTCCTCCTCCTCCTCCTCCTCCTCCTCCTCCTCCTCCTCCTCCCTGAGGACGTGGGGCGGCAAGGCAGACGCGGCGTCTTCGTAAGCGGACCCGCGCTCCGAAGAATCCCCCCCTGGAGACCCTTGGCAGAGTTAGACGCCCGGGCCCTGCCAGAAGTTCCAGCCGATCCGAGTCCGATGGGAGATGCCCAGACCGGGGCTGGGACGAAAATCGATCCGTTCCAGAGCGTTCCGGCACGCTCTCAGGGCGTTCGGAGAAGGCCGCGGCGCCCGAAGCGTCACGTCCTCCGGAGCCGCTGGCTCTCAGAGGTTCTCGATTCGTCCTCACCCGATGTGATCCTCATCCTGGCTTCGTCGTAGATGCCGCGGTCGGCGTCTCAGGGGAACGCGCGCCGCTGCCGGCGAGGGCCAGAGCCTTGGCGAGGCCCCACGCCCGCGTGATCCCCGCTCCCGCCCCCTCGAGCAGCGCCGGCGTCGAGAGTTTGGGCCCGCGCGCGTGTGAAGGGCGATGGCTTGTTTGCCGCGTTTTCCTCCGCCCGCTCCGGCCGCCTGAGGCCCCGCCTTCCTGTGCCCTGTCTCCCTAATTAAAGCTGTGCGTAGCCCGCCTAGCTTTTAGCGGAAGAGGTTCGCTCTCGCCCTGCAGACCAAAAAGAAATGTTTACCGTGTTTTCGTAGTCTGAACGCTTCGCGTAACCCCGCCAGCCCATCCAGAAACGATGCCCAGGCGAGTGGCCCTTTTATCAGGGATGTGGAGGAACATGCAGTGGAATAACGGGCTTGGGAAGCCGTTATACCCTAAGGGGGGGGAGGATGGAGGAGGAATCGGAGGAGGAGTTGGAGGGCGAGGGGGAGGGGGAAAAGGAAGAGGGAAAAGGAAGGAGGGAGGGAGGGAGGGAGGAGGAGGAGGAGGGGGAGGAGGAGGACGAGGAGAACGGCGAGCAGAATGGCCAGAGGCTTCTTGGATGCCTCTCGGATTAGCTTCGGATGTCTCTTCAGCGCTTCTGGGAGTCCTCTCGGAGCGTCCTGGGGACCTCGTGGCGGTCCTGGGGGCCCCTTGGAGCGCCCTGAGTGCGGAGGCCTCTTGGGGGCCTCCCGTGTGCCTCTCGGGCCACTCTTGGGGGCCATCTCAGAGGAGATCGATCAGAGAAGCCAGGGTCCCGAATTTAGCCTCCCCCAGGAGGCTAAAGTTGCCCCAAAAACCTGAGGACAATCTCTGATGTTTGCCTGCTCCCTGAGGGCTTCTTGGGCACTCTGACACCTCGCGGCCCCTCCAGTCCCACAGGGGGAGGGGTCAAGAATGGTCAAGGCACCCTCCTGGATAGTAAGCCGTCTAAATCACTCCCACCCGCCCTCCCAACACGTCAGCAACACCCGAGCCGCAGCATGTTCAGCGGTCGTCGTTGGATGGACACCTACTGGGAAGCAACACCGACCCCATGTGCGCGACGCTGGGGCGAAGTGCGCCACGCACGCCAGGCACCCATGGGGGCCGAGAGTGCCAGGCACGCCTGGTGCGCCAGCTGCGCCACGCGCTCTGCGTGCGCCAGGCGTGCCGCAGGCTCCAGCCGCACCAAATCCGCCACATTCGGGACACGTGCAGAGTGTGTCTGGTGCGCCTGCGCACGCGACAGCGCAGATCGTGAAACATGGCGGCCCCCACCATCCTTGCCGAAAACCAATGCCCATCATTGTGTCTGGCGAGCAGCGCACAGCAGGCCATACGCCACCACGCCCGCCGTCTGTGTCAAAAACCACTTGACAGTGATCGCGGGGTGGCCGCGCCTGGTCCAGATGTAGCCGCGAGGTGCATTGTGCATGTTGTTCCCAACCATCCTGTGGTTTCGGGTCTTCGTTTTGAAGACGTCGCCCCGCGTTCCTCCTCTCCTCCTCCTCCCCCTCCCCCCCTCCCTCCTCATTCTTCCATGCGCTTCACCCACCCAGCACAGCGCTTCGTGGCCCCATACGGAGCTCCACCGAAGCCCCCAGTGGGACCGCCCGCATGCGCCCCCCACACCCAGTTTGGCATTTTCACCCACCCAGTACAGCGCTTCGTGGTCCCATACGGAGCTCCACCGACGGCCCCAGAGGCAAAGTCCGCATGCGTCCCCCGCACCCAATTTGGCACGTTCACCCACCCAGTACAGCGCCTCGTGGCCCCATAGGGAGCTCCACCGAAGCCCCCAGTGGGACCGCCCGCACGCGTCCCCAACACCAAACTTG